ACCTTCCAATATGTTAAAATATCTACTTCATAATTTGATGGAGGTTCTTTTAAATATGAATTCAATTCATCTGTTTGTACAATTTTTCTTTTTTTAAAAATATGAGCAGATAAAGCATTAAGTTTAGGTGAGGATTCATCTGTTTCTTTGTTGCCAATGGGTTTATATTTCTCATTCCATAGATTAGTTATTTGTTGTTTATAGCTTCTGTTATCAATATTATTGTCTCTATAACATGTTAATTTTAATTTAGGATTCAAAACTGTATAAATATAAATTAATTAAAGTTTAAATAAAAGTTAATTAATTATAAAAAAAAATAATAATTATACTTGTTACAAGAATATTTATCTATTTATTTACAAAATAATATATAAATATAGAATTTGTTAACTTTTTTAAATTAAAATAAATTAAATTATATTAAATTAATTAAATTAAATTAAATCAAAAATATATATCAAATTTTGAAATCATTAATTATTTTTATTTTAGGTGAAGGCAATGGCAACGGTAACGAAAATGGCAATGGCAATAGAAAGTAAGATAGATCTTTTTTTTTGTATTACGTTAACTAATTGATTGTCATTTCTTTTATAATAACGGCAAAATAAAATCAGTGCCAAAAAAAAAAACCATAAACCAAAAATATTTCGGTTTGGTTTCGATTTTTCCATTTGGTTCAAATAAAAAACTGAAACCGAACTGAACTGAACGGAAATCTTTCGATTTGAATTTTAATGAACCAAATTGAACCAGAACCAGAACTGGCCATTCAGATTTGGTTCAAACCGAACGGTTAGGAGTTTTAGTTGTGACATTGAATTTACAAGATTAATTAGAACACTATTTGGAATTTTTTTCCATTCTTCATCCAAAAAACTTTCTAATTTGATAATATTTTTTGGTTTACGTAACTCCACATTCCTCTTAACGATTGCCCAAAGATTTTCAATAGGATTGAGGTCCGGACTATTAGAAGGCCAATCCATAACTTCCCGAACATTATTATTAAGAAATTCTTTGGCAATACGGCTGGTGTGCTTCG